ATATATTTATTTATTTATTTATTTATTTATTTTTTTTTGATGAGTAGTATTTTTAAAAAATTTAATTGACTACAAGGCTACAAAGATTTATAATCAATTAAAAGTATTAATTAAGAAAATATAATTAAAATTATTAAATTAGATTCAAATGATGTTTTAAATCTTGCCCTAATCATTAACATCTTATGGCTACGTGATTAGGGTTGTTAAAACGACTCTTTGTTCGTGAACGGCTCATGTTCGGCTCACTAAGCAAACGAGCCGAACACGAGCGAGCCCAGGCTCGCTCGTTCGTGTTCGGCTCGTTTACACCCCTACTAAGCTCTTAGAATGCCTTGGGGTCTAGGATTTTGCAACGTAACTTAGGATGAGATGCGCATTGTCTTTTGTAAGATTAGTCACCTTTAATGTAAAAATAACTAGCATGCTTATTCTATTCGAAATAATTTTGTGAGATGCTAAATATTATCAAAACCAAAGAGGGACATGGATAGAGAGAGAGGGAGAGCGAGAGAGAGATAGGGTATAAAACTTAGCAGAAGTTATTTGTCACAAATTGTTTTTTTTTAATATTTTTTTCCTAATTTTCAAATTTATCTCAAGTTATTTTATGAATAAGAAATTTTAATATAAAAAATAACCGAACTATATGTTTTTTTTTTTATGAAGACTGGGAGCTATGAGTTTTGTTGTAGCTTATAATTAATGAAAAATTAATGAAATACAACTATAACCAGGAAGACTACCATCATGCTGCTTCCACAGCATAAGAGCTATATGATGGCATCAATATATATTATAGCATTTTTTAAACTCATGGTCAGAATAGTGTTAGCTTCATAAACCCAGAGTTTTTTCTTATCTTAAATGTTTGTTTTTTAAAATTTCAAACTTATCAAAAAAGTATATTTTAAATACAAATTGTGAAAACAAAAATTAAACCAAGTCAAAATTGAAACATATCAAGACTGAGACTACCAAAATTGAGATTTTGGCATCAAAACTAAGACTGAATTTACACACCATGGTAGAATAATTTTTCTACTTAAAACTTTGTGAAATTCTTTACTTGAACAGTAAACTGTTATGGTTTGTATTTTTTATAGCATCCTTGTGGATATTATTTTGGGATAATCTTTTCCTAGATGTTGAAATTGGATGGGACTTTCTCTCTTTACTTGTTGTCTTTGGTATCCTGATGGTAGATAAATTTCTGTACTATTACTTGATGGGTGTTCATTTCTATTTTTCCCCTCAGGCTTCCCAAGACAAGAAGAGTTTGGATGTCGGGGCAAATCTTTTTGTTGGAAATCTTGATCCGGTAAAATTCTAATCCTTGTCAATCAACACAGTTTGAAACATTAATGGATTCCTTTTTCACTATGGGCGTTCCTTTGTAGGATGTCGATGAGAAACTTCTCTATGATACTTTTAGTGCATTTGGAGTAGTGGTCACTAATCCCAAGGTGATGTGCTATGTGTATTTATCTGTATACTCTATTCCGAGCAATTTACCAGAAAACACTAGTTTGAGAAGAACGGACAAAAATGCTGTTTTTGAATTATTAGCCCAATCCCGCTTTAGTTTGGTGTTCTCGTTTTATATGGCTTATGCTATTTTGGAGAGTTATTATGGAAAAATTAGTTATAGCATTGCATGGAAATATGAAAATTATACTATCAGGGGATTTGGTTGCTTACTGAAATACTCTCATTGATAATATTGGGATTTTAATGCCTGAATTTTCTTCAACTGCCCACCTTTCTTTCATGTATGCGCATATGCACAAATTTCATGCTGATCTTTAATGTTACCCTTCCATTTAGTAGGATAGAAATTAAGAGAAGTAGAAAATGCATCTATAGTTGACCTAGTTATTGAGATTTATTATTAAACTAATCATTGTAGCATGGCATGGAGTTTTTGAAATCATATCACTCAATGATTTGGTGGCACACTGAAATATTTATTGATAATATCAGGGCTTTAGTACCTAAATTTTCTTTAACTGCCCGCTGCGCTTCCCTTTACAATCATATGCACAAAAATGTTCATTCTGGTATTTTATGTTTCCCACATATTGATACTGCTCCATTTAACAGGATAAAATCGTTTAAAAAAGTGAAAATAAGCTTTATTTTGCTATTCAACTGTAATTTAGCTATAATAATGCCAAAAGATAAAAGCCTTTGAAGTTTCCTTTAGAAGGCAATAAATTCTGCTAGTGGGTATATCTATCGAAACTTTTTTATAAAAAGGTTTGGGACTTTTTGTTGTTTATTCCGCTCATCCAAAAAAAATAATGTATAGTAGTAGTGTAAGCTGATGGGTAGGCAAGGACGAGGAACGTCTGAGAAATTGGGAGATGATTTGTTTAGATTAAGAAAATTTTATATGTTATATCAAATTTCAGTATTTCCAGCTGACTATTCGATGGTATTAACTAATTAAATGCAAAGAAAGGAACATTTAGCCCATGAAACTCCCACTAATGAAAGGTTTAGGTAGTATTGAGCCTTTCCGTGATTTCAGTGTCTATTTCCGATGCTCTGATTCATGGCACCTTGATCACATGGGGGCAAATTATCCATTGCTTTTGGCCTACCATCTTCGTTTGTTAATTGAAAAGAGGGTGGAACCTAAGTATTGTTTATGTTGCCTTCGTTTTGATATGAAGATCATGATTCAAAACACACAAATTTCTTCATTTTAAATGCCGAGTAAGTGTTTGCATCAGCTTAACTTTGCATGGTAATACCTTTATCCACTTGGTTACTCTGAGTGTGTAAATATGAAAGTTTAGGTGTTATATATGTAAATACATAAGAATTGTGTGCCATGTAAGTAAATTTCCCAAATATAAATGAATTAAAATCTGTCAAACTTGGATCATCATGCAACAAAAAGGGTGATTTATCAACAAGCTCTGGAAAAACCTATGTTACATCCAAAAAATATGCGGGCTTCATTTTATACTCATTTTGCCAGATGTTCTGTTAATTAGATCATATATCAGTATTCTGCAATTTATTGCTGTAATTGTGCTTTCATTCTTCACTTCTTTGGCTATGTCAAAAACTTTGTGTCGCGGATTTGGTTTTTTGTGTTTTACTTGTCAGTAATCTCAGTACAATTTGCCTAATGAATATGTGTGTTCTCTATGCTTTTTAGCTAATAAAATATACGTTTATCATTTTGTTGTATTTTACATTTAGTAGGAACATCATTTCTAGGGTTGTAAAAAATGCTCAACAGCTCATGTTGTTCCGCTTGTTTATAAACTTGTGTTTGAATTGTTTGTCAAGTAAATGAGTCCAACACGAACAAAAATTTTGAGTTTGATTTATAAAAGAGTTGAGCACAAACATACACTTGAGCAAGCTAATCATTAACAATTTTGAACGCGAGCTAATTTCAAATAAACCGATCATAAACAATTTTGAACATGAGGTAGTTTCAAACAAGCCAAATGCAAATAGATTTCGAACTTGCTCAAGTTTCACTTGTTCCCCACCTAATCATTACCGATTGTTCTGCTTTATTTTTCATTTAATAGGAATTAGGAATCCACTTTCTATGACAGCCTTGGTGACACAATGAAAACGGAATATAACTTGACATTTTCAATTAATTAAATTTTCGCCCATTTATCATCTCCATATGTATGTTAAAAGTCTTCTGTTAATCTTATAATTCTAATATATTTCAGGATTTCGCTCCTTGCTTTGTCCAAACCTGAAATTGTCTTTTTAGTTTTTACCATTCAGATAATGAGAGATCCTGAAACTGGGAATTCAAGAGGCTTTGGTTTTGTTAGCTATGATTCATTTGAATCATCTGATGCAGCAATAGAGGTACTGCCAACCTTCTTAAAATACAATTTCAAATTAACATTTTTTTCTTTCGCCCAAATGTAATTGGTGCATCTTTCTTGTTAAGTAGCGGTTCATGAATAACCTATTAAGGTTCATCAGTTTGAATGATAATATATTTCTTTATTATTTTTACTCTGTACAGGCCATGAATGGCCAGTACCTTTGTAACCGCCAAATTACAGTCTCATATGCGTACAAGAAGGACACAAAGGGAGAACGCCACGGGACACCAGCAGGTAAGACATTCTTCTGAAGCTAGAAGCTTTGCTTTGAAATATGGTAATATTTTGGTAAAGTTAGAAATTACTTTTGATTTTAATCATGAGAGACTTCTTATTACTCCTTCGAAGATAATAATTTTTAGGGAAAGTTACATACGTAGCACACAATTCCTATGCATGTAAATACATAAGAATTGTGTGATATGTATGTATATTTCCCTACTTTTTAACTTTGCAAAATGAATGAAAATCAAAGTAAATCTTATTTCAAAAATATGCAGAGAGAATTCTTGCTTCAAACAATCCCGGCACGCAAAGAAACCGGCCACATACTCTATTTGCAAGCGGACCACCCTCGCTTCCCGGTTCTCAACCAAATAGCAGCATCCGTGCACCCATTCCTCCTCGCCCTTTTATCAATGGACAGGTACCGGCCGCTCCAGTACTAGCCATTCGACCTCCACCACCACCTCAAGGGGGTCAATTCCCCCCTCCCATGCAGATTCCGATGCAGATGGCGGCCGCCCCTTGGCCCGGTCAGCCACCTCAAGCCGGTCAAGGCATGGTTCCTCCGGTAATGCCGCCACCACAAATGCAATTGCAGTTCAGGCCTCCCATTTGACCCCCGCCGCCTAATATGGTTCCGCCACCATCGGCAGCCATGATGAGGCCACCGCCTCCACCACCTCCGTCGGGCCACCGCCTATGTGGAGGCCGCCGCCGCCACCTCAGCAGCAAATGATGGGCAGACCTATGCCGCCGCCTCCGATGGCCGCACCGCCACCTCCCCCGCATCCTTGAAATGCAAGGGTGGTAGAGTGGATTTTACTAGGATGAGCTTTAGAGATCCAACAAATATTTTAAAGAGGATTGCTTTGGAGAAATGTAGAATTTTCCTCTTCGGTAAGTGAAGAAAATTGTCTCTAGCGAGGATTGTTGTCAAATTTACTGGTTTTAGCGGGAATTGATTTCTTCATAGAAACTGTTACATATTTGTGAAACATATGTTGCACATGTGGCTGCTGGTGTTTGAAAAAATATATCATTGAGATATTTGCAGTTTCTAAAATATACATGTTAAGCTTCATTGTTGGAAAATAATCATTTTTTCTTTCATATTTAATCCTTCATGTCAGGTTCGTAGTAGTATTTCTAGGAAGATTTACATGCATACCACACAATTCTGATGTATTTACATATCTACAAATCATATATCTACGTATATTCATTCATGATAGGTTGATATGACATTCACATGAAAAAAAGAGGGGCAATTACGTGCACACCGCCCAAAACTTGTTATTTACAAATCTAGTACTCTCTCCCATCCATTTTACAAACTCTCACTCAAATATCAAATTCATGGTAAAACCCAACTCATTTTTTTCATTTTTGTCCATCTCTCAAAAGCCTTATCGTGGCACGCACAAATACATTGGTTTGGTCGTTCAAAAAATTCGCTTGCCTGATTAATTTGAAAATAGCAAATTTTGGGTGGTGTATATGTAATTATCCAAAAAAAATGATACACATATTACAAATTAATTATACTATATGAATATTCAATTTCTCATCAAGATTTTGATATAAACATGATTTCTATGAGACCTTGAATAAATTTAAAAATAATTATTATTTATATGTTCCTATTTGATATAACTAGCAAAAAATATCATTTAATTTATTAATTATAATATTAAAATTGAATATATTAGGATTTTTTTTATAGTGAAATATAAAGAGAAATTTCAATGAAAAATATGCTAATCTTATATTAAATTTAAATGCTAGATAGTTATCAATGCATTCATTATACCCAAACAATCATGACTTAGTCGAATTCCAATGGTACTTCTAATACATCAAGACATGTGCCAAACTAAAATTATTTTAGTTAATAGGTAATGAAATGAGGCTGGCTTTATTTATTACGTTTTTTTCTCCCAAAAATTAAAATCATAATTCAAAATACGAAATAATAGTTTCTTAAGAAATAATATTTATGCACTTTTCTAGCAGAATCTGTGATCTCATGGTGAAAGATTACACTGTAAATCACTGGAAATTATTTCGTCCAGTTTTGTACTTTATACAGAATCATCACGGGCAGAATCTGTGATCTCATGGTGAAAGATTACACTCTAAATCACTGGAAATTATTTCGTCCAGTTTTGTACTTCTGAACAGGGGCGATGATCTGGCCACATGAAATGCACAATGACGTGATCAGACCATTACCATTGTCCAAACTTGCAGTCCAGTGAATTTAATAATTTTCTCTCAATTATTATACGACAAGTACTAACAAATGTGTTAATACGCTACTAACAAATTTTCATCATCTAACACGAATCTCGAGGTATTACACGAATCTCGAAACGATATTTAAGGCATGAAACATTCAAATATTGATAAAAAGTTATCCAGAGCTTCAATTTCAACAAACTTATAGTCAAACCGACCGACTCGATGAGACGGACCTAATGATATAAAAATAGCTCAGATCAAGTCATTGAACTACATTTAAATGACTTCCGGACACATTTGAAAGATCAAAAGGTTGTCTAATATGACAAGTTTATACTCGAATGAGCGGCTAGACAAGACAAATCCAACGAGCCCAAGATCACTCAATTCTGACATCATTAAGCTACTCAAATGTCCAGTAAACTTTGTATGATCAAGGGAAGCTCTCTGGATCGTCTGATCAAAATGATTCATATTCCTGCATTAATTGCACGTAGAACACTATAAATAGAGTCTCATCCCTCTCATGAGGGGGGGTTGAAGTCTGGAGAGAGAGAGAGAACCTAAGACCTTGAGGAGAAGCTGTAGTTCAGCATCACCGCCGATCGTCATCGAATACCGCCGATCTCCGTCGTCGACCACCGCCAACCTTCTTCGTCGACCACCGCTGATCGCAGTCGACCATCGCTGATCGCAGTCGACCTCCACCAACCGTCATCGATCACCACCAACCAGATGCGGTCAGTCAGCTTCGTAATCTGAAAAATATAGTTACCATTTCTTGTCTGTGGGATAAGGGATTTCTGTAATCTTCAATTAATATTGAACTTTGGCAACTGAGTCAAACCCAGTAGTTTTTCCCTTTATGGTTTTCCATGTAAAAACTTCTGGAGTAGTCACTATTTTTTTCTTTTTCATCTGAGTGTGTGCAGAATTCTCGTACAACGCTAAGACAATAATCTGTTGCTCTACAGCTGTGAATTTTCTGGCACGCATCAGTTTGACGCCATCTGTGGGAAACGAAGTCCTGTTCGACAATGTCTTCAACTCTAGGAAGTTGATCCCCTACTTTATTTCCCAATGATGTATATCATTCAACTGGCTAAGGAACCTCCTTTACGTCTTGAAGATCTTCCCAGAAGCATTTTTCCAGACTAGGGAGCAACCTTCACTGCAGTCTCGGAAGTTCGTTCATGTCAACGTCCCGGGCACGACTATGATTGGGAAGTCATCCCATATTTTATTTAGATTACAAGTCTTCAAAAATCTATCCTGGACTGAGGGCAATCTTCACTGCAAAAAAAGCTTCCTCAGTGTCCCCTCATCGTATTAAAGTTCCTCTTCAGATAGACCAAGAAGCTGATTTCTTCAAAGCTTAATACTTGTGTTGTTGTACAAGCTTATACGGAAAATACCTCTGCTAGGAGAGCAAAAGATTCAAAAGCAGCAACTAACAAGTTGTCAAATATTTTCTTGACTATGGCTGCAACTATATTTCTAAGAAAATATACGATCTATTGCGACCTACGCCATAGTCTCGAGAAATGTATAGCATCTCTGACACCTCATTCTAGGCTTAATCGATCTCAGGGGGACTCGATTCGACCTCTTCCATTAGAGGATATAGTCGTCAAGCAAAAGCTTCGACATACAACCTCAGATAGGTCAAAAATCTTTGGTGGATTTTCTTCGATTTCTTCCATAACAGGTTACGGTCGTTAAGCAAATGCTTCGACCAATAACCTAGAATAGGCCAACCACCCTCAGTGGATTTCATAAGACTTTGTTCATTACGGGTTAATACCGTCGAGCATCTCCAATTACACAACTCAGAACTGATCTTACATTCTTATTGGATTCTCCTTTCAACCATGCCCCTGAAAGTCAAGCTCAAGAAGCAAGACTCAATGAGAAGCTACCATGCCCCTAGAAGACAAGCCTAAGAGGCAAATCTCAATAAGATGCTTGCAATGGACAGGGTTCTCACTAGAAATACTCTATGAGAACAATTGGTTGACAGGGTTTCTACTCGAATACCTCTAAAGGCTATAAGCCACAGAAGATATTGGTTCAAGCTCTTATAAGGCATAAGCCCGATGGGGCACAACCTTCGGAAGGCTTGAACCACAAAAGCCTCAAAAGCAACGCAAAAAACGTACAAAAAAATATATTATCATCATCTATAAATGTTACATCAGATGATTAAAAAGACTACAAATATCAACATAAGGGCTACAATAGATCAGCTCATCTTCTAACAGAGTCGGCATTGCCTCCCCAAAATTCCAATACTTTTGATGATCGTCAGGGGGTCTGTAGATGTTACCACTACATAAGCATGAAAATCTTTCCCTCAAAGCGTTGTTGGAAAACTACAACATTTTATCATCACCTCCTAACTACACCGCAACGAGAAAGAAAATCATGTTGCTTGTCTACTATACAAGATGAAGATGACTTTCCTCGTTGCCTTAACTCTGCACCGTAGCTCGGTACCGCAACTCTACACCGTAGCTCGACACCGCAACTCTGCACTGAAGTTTGGGACCACAACTCTGCACCGTAGCTTAGTACCTCAATTTCGCACCGTACCTCGGCACCGTAACTCGACACCACAACCTGTGCCGAAACACTCGACATCGGCATTGTAACTATGCACCGTAACTCGACACCGCAACTCAGCACCTTAACTCGCCACCGCAACTCTTTGCCGCTGCGCATAATGATTTTCTTCTCAGAAATTATGAATCAGCTAAAGACTCCACCCCTACCTTCTTTCATGACATTGGACATCCAACGCATCGCGCCACTGCGATGCTTAGCCAGCACATCGTCGCGACACACTACCACAACACGTCGTTGCGCTGCAACGCATCGCCTCGACGCACCATCACAATATGTCGCCCTGTCACCCTGTTGCAATGCGTCACAACATCACAACACACTACTGCAATGTGTCTCTGTGCCGCCGCGGCATACCATTGCAACGCGTTGTCACGCTGTAACACGTCGGTCACCCTGTTGCAATGCATCACAACATTACAACACACTACTGCAATGTGTCTCTGTGTCGTCGCGGCATACCATTGCAACGCGTTGTCACGCTGTAACACGTCGCCGCGCCACACTGTGGCAACTTGTTACCCCGCCACATGGCGTCACCACAAAGCAC